CCCAGACCTGCCCTCTGGGCAGGTAGAGCAGCCCAGCCCAGCGGCTGGGACACATCCTGTCCTGGCAACGCCGTGGGGTGACACTGCTGCTGTTCAGGGCCAGTGCTTTGGCCACCATCCTGCTGGCCCTGGCTCTGAGGCTGCTTTTGGTATGAAGTCATGAGGCTTTTGGCAGTGCCTGAGAGCTGCCCCGGGCTGCTGCTCTCCAGCACTATATATAGCCATGGTGAGAGCTGCGCTGCCGGGAGCCCACAGCTCTGATTCACAGTGTGGGGACTTTTGTCAGCAGCCCCAGCACCTTCCTCCCTCCCTCCACAGTGGCTGCAGTGAGGGTGTCCTGCCCTGAGAAGCAGGGTGTTCTCAGCTGGCAGCTCCAGGGAGTGCTGTGGTCGGAGCAGCAGCGGCATCCCCGTCTCTTCCTGCTCCGCTCGCACGGAGACCCGGGCACGTCCCTTTGGCACTTGGTCCCAGCTCGTGTGTGGAGTGCTGAGCAGCTGTGCTGGGTCACTGCCACTGCCAGCCATGCCCCCAGTGCCACGAGGACTTCCACGCTGCTCCCCCTTCCTGCCCCACTGTGTCCAGAGCTGGAATGGGATGGCCTCGAGTAACCACTCAAAGCCACTCGGGTGATGGTGGGGACAGACCCAGAGCTGGGGAGTCCCAAGTCTTACTCACCCCCCTCCAGCTCTCCTGGGCGTGTGGGCACTGCTTCCATCCCCAGAGTGCTCACACCACCCAGTGTGTGTGCTGCCCAGGTCTGTGTGCCCCAAAACAGCATTGGGAGAGGCCCCTTGGCCTGGGCCCACATCCAGGAGCAGCTTGTGAGAGCCCCAGGAGACTGAGGGATGGATGTGCAGGGAGGGTGCAATTCATGCTGAATCCTCTCCCCTTCCCCCTGGCAGATCTGGGAGTCTGTCCCATACCTCGCCTCGTACGTGAGCCCTGTGCTGAAGGAGGGCAGGAGCATCCCCCTGCTCCCACGGGAGCTGGAGGTCGCCTGGAATGGTAAGAGCAGGTGTGCCATGGAGAGCACGTGCTGCACACACCCAGGCCAGGATCCAGCAGGGCAGGAGCAGCCTGGGCTGTGTGAGGCCACGAAGGGGTTAAGTGCTGGGCTGCCTGGGCTTTTTCTTCTCTTTCCGCTGCCCTTCCCCAGGGGATCTGCCTGTTGCTGCCGTCCCCTCCCCATAACCCCATCCCATGGACTGATGTGTTTGGGGAGCCAGACAGGGCTGGGCAGCGGCCAGACCCGCTCCACTGCCTTTGACCATTTTAGGTAATGCTCCAGCTCCCGACTTGGCCAGCCCTGTCCACATCAACAAGGCGCTGCTCAGGCTGCTACCAGTGGGAAGGAGAGCTCGGCCCAAGTCCTTCCCGGCCCCCCTGCAGCTCCTGGCTCTGCTGGGCACAGCTCCTTTCCCTGAGGCTGAGCACATTCCCCCTCCATGCCTCACTGGAGATGCTGGTCCTGGGAGCCTGGCCCTGCACCTCTCACTGTCCCAGCTGTATTGCTGGCAGAGGTGCACCCAGGGAGCACCCACCTGCCCAGAGCAGGCCGTGCCACAGCCACAGCTCACTCTGGAGCATGCCAGGCTCCTTGGGCTGTGGTTGGCAGCTCTGGGGCTGTGAGGATCCGTGGGACTGGTTTGAAATGGGATCAGGGAACCTAGACACCTAGTCTCTCCTCCCAGTCCCACACAGGTCCTGTTAAATGGGGCTGGCTGGGAGTGGGGACTCCATGTTGGCCACCAGCCTCAGCAAACCCTGCCTTCCCTCTCCCAGTCACCACCGCCGACCTGGAGCTGTCTGGCATGAGGACCCTGGAGCATGTGGCAGTCACTGTCACCATAACCCACCCCCGCCGTGGCAACCTGGAGATCAGGCTCTTCTGCCCCAGTGGGATGATGTCCCTGATCGGGACCACCCGGAGCATGGACTCGTAAGCACCGAGGGGTCAGGCTGGGGAGGGCAGGACCCCAGGGCCTGCGTCGGCCTCGTGGTTCAGGCTCCATGACCCTCTCATGGGTCGTTTCCCCTCACCCCTTGGCAGGGACCCCAATGGCTTCTCTGACTGGACCTTCTCCACGGTGCGGTGCTGGGGCGAGGAGGCGCAGGGCACGTACAGGCTGCTCGTCAGGGACATCGGTGAGTCCTGCCTGCCTGGGGACACTCCTGGGGTGGTGGCAGCTCTGGGCCATGTCCCAGGCTGCTGCCAGCTCATCACTTGGGAGAGTTCCCCGCTGGACCAACCTGCTTCTTCCCCAGGAGATGAGAGCCTGAGGCCTGGCACCTTAAAGCAGTGGCAGCTGACCCTGTACGGCTCCTCCTGGTCCCCGGCAGAGATGAAGGAACGGCACAGGTAGGGCACCACAGTCCTGGCTTGGTGGGGAGCCAGGAGCAGGAGGCTGAGGGGTGTTGCCCATACCTGTGAGCAGGTGCTGCTCGGTGGAGCCGTGTTGCTGCAAGGTGCATGGCAGGGGCCCTCACACCTCACAGGGCAGCCGTGGGCTGCAGAACTCAGCACTGTTTGCTGAAAGAGGCACTGCAGACCCTTGGTGGGCATTTGGGACCCTCCCTGGAGCCCCTCTGCCTGCAGGACCTGCACAGGGTGCCTCTGTCCCCAGGCTGCTGGAGGAAGCCATGAGTGGGCAGTACCTGAGCAGCAACTTCTCCCTGCCCTGTCCCCCGGGGCTGGACATCCCCGAGGAGCAGCACTACACCATCACAGCCAACACCCTCAAGGTGAGCCTGCCTGCGAGCCAGGGGGTCCCTGTATCCCCCAGGATGGGCTGGAGGAGCAGGACCCTGCCTGGGACACTGTGACCCCTCTGCTGGGCAGTGGGCAGGGCTCGGGGGGGTCGAGGGTGGTGTTTCTCAAGGGGTTTCCCCTCCGTAGACCCTCCTGCTCTTGGGATGCTTCGCCGTGTTCTGGACTTTCTACTACATGCTGGAGGTTTGCCTGACGAGGAACGACGTGGGGCTGGACCTGGCCTGCTCCAGCTCCCCCAGCTGCAGGTGGTACCAGCAGGGCGGGAAGCACCGAGCCCTGGAGAGCGGCCTGGAGATGGAGTCGGTGCCGCTGTACCGGGAGAAGGACGTGGAGGAGGCCGAGATGGAGTGTGAGCACCCAGAGCCTGCCCGGGATGGGGAGGAGGGGTCCTGGACCCCCACCCACCCTGAACTTCCCAGCAATGGCAGAGCTGTGAGCTTCCACGAGGCAGCTCCTGCTGGAGCGGGATACCTGGGCCGGGAGGCACCGGCTGAGCTCCTCCTGGAGGACAGGGAGCACCGGCCGTGCTGACTGGGGCTGGGCTGGGGCTGGGCTGGGCTGGGGCCCTCCCCTGCGGTACGACCCTCCTGGGCACAGGCAGCACAGACTCATTCCTGAGCCAGCGTGGACCATTGCCACTGTGTTCTGTGGAAGGTGGTGTTGGAAGTGGCTCGGAAACAAGGAAAAAAGAGTGCTGGTACTGGAAGGGGAGCTCCCCTTCCCTCGCTCTGGAAAACAAAGCAAGCCTTAAACCCCTTCCTGAGGGAGCCTGTCCTGCAGGGCACTCAGAGGTCCCTGCTGTGTGTGGAGCAGGGCCCTGTGCCATTCCTGCTGGGAGCGTGGCAGCTGTGGCAGAGCTCCACACCAACCCCCTTCACACCACTGCTCCCAAGCCTGGCAGCGCAGGCAAGACGTGTCCCTTTGTCCCTGATTTCTGCAGAGAGCCTGGAAAACCCGGCAGGGCCCCTGGAAGGTGCCTCTCCAGGCAGGGACCCCACAGCACTGGCAGTTTCCTGCCCACTGGGCTGGCAGTGGCCTCTACCCACCAGTTATCCCAGTTTAGAAGCAGGGAGCTACTTTACTCATCTCCAACCAGCGCTTCTCCCTGTCCCCTGTGCTCTGATCCTGCTGGTTCCTCCTCTCCCTTGGGCATGGAGCAGCTGTGGGGCTGGGGAAGCAGGAACAGGCCTGTTTGGGTGGCAGGATGAGGCTGTTCCTGCAACGGTGGGCACAGGAGTCCCTCTGGCAGCAGAGCTCACTGGGGCCACTGTCCCAGATCTCCCTCCCCATCCAGGAGGGACAAAGCCAGGAGCAGTGCCTGATTTGGGCCAGGGAGGGGAGGATGAGTTGCTCTGGCAGTGGCTCGTCTGAGCAGGGTTGGCTTGTTCACATGTCTTTGGGTTTGGTGGTTTATTTTTTTAGGGCTGGGGTTTGTTTTTTAATCAGCAAAGCCCTTTTGTGTAGCTTTCCAAATAAAGCCTGAAAAACCCTCCTCTCCCCCATCCGTCACTCCTCTGCTCTCCCAGAGCTTCCTCACTGTGGAAAAATGCGTCACCCATCCCCTCCCAGCACCGGGGCCTGGGGGGACCCAGTGTTGGGGTGTGGGTCTGTGGGGGCCGTGAGCCCTCCATGCCCTGCTCCCAGGAGCCGGGATAACGGGAACTGCTCCAGGCAGGGGGATGCAAGGGCTGGGCCAGAGTGTTGGAAGGAGTGAGGAGAAAGGTGGGTGTTGAGCTTCAGGGGGGAGAGGGCAGAGTCTTCCAAGCCGGGCAGGGAAAGCCTGATCCCCAGCTGTGGTTTTCCCAGGTTCGGAGCTGGAAGAAGGAGCAGCCATGGCCTTTTAGGGAGGGTGGCTTCAGCTTTTCCAGAGTCACCAGCCAGGCGGGAGGAAACCTCGTCAGGCCACAACTAGATGAATATAACCTTTTAATTTCGACAAAAACCAAGTACAAAACCGAGGCCCAATTCTCTCTTTCTCCCCGTTCGCAGGGATCTCTGCGGCAGTGGCGCGGGGCTCGTGGGGGGGCTGCGGGCAGGGGGGGCCACCCCGTGGGCCGGGGCACGTGCCCATCCCACCCGTGGGACACCCGTGGGTGCCGGGGGGGGCAGGACCGGCTGGCGGGGGGTGCGAGGCCGGGGGGGCAGAGGCTGCCCGGGGCTGGGCGCGGGGGCTGCGGCCCCGGGGCGGGGGGCTCTGCGGGGCGCGTGCGGCCGCTGGCGTTGGGGCGTTGTTGGCTGGCGTTTGGGGGCGTTTGCTCCTCAATAAATACCAATCGGTGCGGGGCTGGTGGCGGCCGCCGACGCTCGGGCGGCTGCGGCGCTGGGCCGGGGGGAAGCGGAGACGGAGGTCCCGGCTGGGGAGGGCTGGGGGCGGCGGGGGGGTGCCTAGCTGATGATCTGCCGGGGCCGCCCGTAGCTCATCCCCGCCTGTGACGCTCCCTTGTTGGTCCCCATCTGTAGCCCGATGATGTTCTTGCCCTCCTTCAGCTGGCTCTCGGTGAACTCCCGCTTGTGCTCCTGCGCCTTCCTGCGGGGCACGGGGAGAGGCCGTGGGGCACCCGCACCCACCTGGGTGACCAGCAGCCCCCCCCCCGATCCCCAGGGGTGCCCCAGCCCCTCTCCCTCCCCAGTGTACCACCTCCATGTGCTCCAGGGTGCTCTGGGCAGCCACAGGGCAAAGGGGTCCCCACACCCAGCTCTGACACTCCCCCACTTACTTCATGAACCAGTTGGGGTCCCCGTGGTAGTGCCCGTCGTTCTTGGTGATCGCCAGGCTCCCCAGGGCCATCAGCGTCCTCTGCACCGCCGCCATGTCCTTGGCTGCCGAGGGACAGAGGGAGGGATGTGAGGAAGGGCACGGCACAGCACGGCAGCCCTGGATCCCCCAGCCCCAACTGCCCCCCTCCTGCACCTTCAAAGAGGTCGACGGTCTGGAACATGTCTGTCTTGGTCACACCATAGTCCTCGGCCGCCTTCAGGAACTGGGCGATCTGCTCCATCTGCTTGAAGACCATGGTGGGCGGCGCGTCGGGGATCTTGACGGGCTTGGAGCCGTCGGGGTAGAGGCTGTTCACCAGCCTGCTGAGCACCTGCCGCGGGGGAGAGCCTGGGCTTGCTGCAACACCACAGAGCCCCCGCCAGCCAATTCCCCCCCGGGACCCCACTTACGATGCCGTTCTTCAGCCAGACCTGGAAGCCCAGGCGGCCCCGCTCGGGGCGACCCACGGAGGACCCGCACTGCGCCACGATCCACTCCACCAGCCGGTCCTCCAGCTCATCATCGTACTTCTTCTCGATCTTGGACTGCACGTCCCTGCTCATGCCATAGGCTGGGCCTTTGTTTGCCATGGCTGCAGTGGTGGGAGACCTGGCGGCACGACGGAGACCGTCAGGCTGTGGAGATGCCGTCCCCCTACCCAGGGACCCTGCAGCAGCCCTGTGGCATCCACCACCCACCCTGGTGCAGTAAGGACATGCCCTTCTCTTGGCTCTTCCCTTGATCCATCCGGGAGTGTTTGGCGGTCAGTTCACAGCCATGACCCCCAAAACCTGCCCAGACAGATGGTTCCTGTTCTGGCAGAGGTGCCTTGTCCTCACTGCCTGGCTCAGGCTATGCAGGGGAGCAGCCTCATCCCTGTCCCTTGGTTGGCACAAACATCCCTGGAGTGGCCATGCCAGGATCCAGGTGGCAGGGTGACCACAGCAGGGCTGGGTGGCTGTGTCGCAGCATGGTGGCCACACCATGGCAGAGCAGGGTGCCCACAGGGTGGCCTTGGTGTGGCAGGTCCGGATGCCAGGGACGAGCATGGGCGAGGCAGGAGCGGTGGGAGCTGTGCCCGTGCCCTTGTAAGGACATGCTGTGGCAGTGATGGCAGGTAGCTGGCTGCAGGCAGGGCCCGAGGTGCCAGGGAAGATGCCAGGGAGAATGCCAGGAGGGAGAGGCACCATGAGCAGCAGCCAAGCCCTCAGCAGAGCTGGCCTCACTCCTCCCTGCACAGCTCCTTGCTTGGCATGAAGCCTCTGAGCGCCAGGGCTGTGCCCTCAGGGAGCCGTGTGCTCGGTCCCACACCCACGACCTGCCTCCCGTGGGCTCATCCTGACCACTGGGCACAGGCACCGGGACTCCTACGGGATGGGCTGAGACCTGGCACAGCTCAGTGCAGGAGAGAACGCTGACCCCACTTGCTGCCAGCAATGCAGGGGTACCCCACGAGCCCCAGGGGCAGCCTGTGCCCGGACTCAAGCACCACTGGGCACTTCCAGCGATGCCACAGCTAGTCCCGCTCTGTGCCCTGGCCCGAGCTGGCACAGAGGGTTCACGCACAGACCCACGGCTCCCTTGGCCACGCGGCAGTGCCCGGCAGTCACCCCCGGCCCTGCCAGCCCCCTGCCGAGACACGGGGCAGAAACGGACGCGTCGGGGTTGAACTCGCCCCTTTCTCTCTGCCCTGAGCCCCGCACGGCCCCTCCGGCCCCCGCGGGGCCGAGGCCGGTGGACCCGCAGCAGCGGAGCCCCCATGGGAACGCGGTCCTGAGGGGCAGGAGCAGGACAGAACCCCGGCAGCGACCCCAGCCCGAGCAGGAGAGCCCGACCCTCCTCCGGGGAGCAGCATCCCCATCCAGGGGAGCAGCATCCCCATCCCGGGGAGCAGCATCCCCATCCCGGGGAGCTGCGTCCCACCCGCAGGAATAGAATCCCCATAATTCAGGGAGCAGAAGGCAGCCCCTATCCCAGGTACAGGGTCCCCAACCCGGGGGGGAGCACCCCCATGCCGGGGGCTGACATCCGTACTCCGGGAACCCTCCCCGCCGCCCCCCCCGCCTTCCCCCCGCGGCAGGACTCACAAGCGGCTGCGGACGGAGCGAGGGCGATGCTCGGCGCGGGACCAGCGCTCTGCCCCGCGGGGACCCCGACCTTGCGCTAAAAGGCGGGCGGCGGGACGGTGATGTCAGCGGGGCGCGGGGCCCGGCCCCCCCCCGGCCCTCCCTCCCGGGGCGCCCGGCCCCGCAGCGCTCCATGACTCCATCCCAGGCACCATATTTGGGGAAAGACTCCGAAAACCAGCGACGAAAGCCCGAGCATTCCCCGCGTGCCTCCGCCCCAGCGGGGCAGGGGCGGAACCGGGCCGGGGGCTGATGGAGTAAATCCTTTTATAGCCAGGCGGCAGCGCCGAGGGCTCCCGCCCTGACTTCATGGCTGGTTTCCCCATGTGCTCACCGCCGGGAGCCGGGGCGGCCCAGAGAGGTCCCCGTGGTGACCCACCGCCCACGGAGTCCGGCCGGGACCGCCGGGGCACGCAGCGGGCATCCCGCTGGCACCGCGCCTGGGCATCCCGCAGCATCCCGGGATTCCCTCTGCCCCGCGGGCACCAGCTGGAGCGGGTCAGGGCACGGCGGGGCACGCAGCAGCCCTGGCACCGCTGCGATGCCACGGGGGCCCCCAGGAGCTTTGCTGCCTGTGAAATAGGACCCCCCTGGGCATCCCTCCTAGCCCTGGGGCTGCCAGCCCTCACCCTGTGCCCCACAGACCACTGCCAGCCTCCCACAGAGGTTCTCCAGAGCAGCAGCAGCGCCGCAGCATCTCCACTCTCCCAAAATCCCGCGGGAAGGAGGAGACAGTGCCACAGCACTGCCTGGCTGATACCTCGTGGCAGATGCCCCTGGGACCCCCCCGGGCTCCTGCTGCCCAGGCAGGAGGCAGGAGGCACAGGCAAAGTGCAGACACTTTAATGCGAGTCCCTTCCCAGCAGATCCACGCGCGGACAGCGCGCGGCACCTCGGTGGGAGCGGCAACGGGGGCCCGCCACAGCCACCCCCCCGGGACACTGCAGGAGACGCGAGTGGGGCCTCTCTGGCCACTGCCACCACCGTGCTGGCCCCACACACCCCCACCTCCCACCCATACGACTCAGGCACTGAAGAGAAACCCACACCCACGAGCTCGGGGGGCCGCGGGGCTGCTGGCACGGCACTCGCCACAATCCCCTCGCCACGCCCACGGGCACACGGACACGGAGCAGCAGCACCTTTTCCAGTGTCACTTGCCACCGAGGATGGTGCCCCGGTAGCCCCCCAGCCCTGTGTTTGGCCACAACAGGCCCAGGGACGGGCACGTAGTGCCTGGAAGGACCTGGCTGACAGGGAGGAGGTGCACCGGGACCCCCAGGCTGCGTGGGGAGGGGGACGGAGCGGCTGGCAGGACCTGCAGCACGGACATCCCTCCCCGGGGGTGGGTGCCCCCTCCCGGGGCTGCAGCGGGGTGTTTGGCACAGTCCCAGGGCAGCGTGAGGCTGCGGGCTCCTAGAAGACGTAGATCTTGTCCCGCTGGATGCAGTCCAGGTCATCGTCCAGTGTCAGCAGCACCTGCGGAGCAAGGAGAGCGAGGGGAGTGGGGCATGGGGAGCTGGGGGGCAGGGGCTGGGTCTGCTGTGCTGGAGGAATCAGCACCTACCAAGAAGGAGCCGAACATGGCGATGGAGGAGAGAAAGTGCCAGATGTCGTGGTCGTCAAAGAAGTCGAGCAGGATGCAGTCACGGTTGTGCTCCCGAGATTCCGCTGGCGTTTTCTGTTGGGGACAGAGCCAGTGTCACTGTGCCCGCCCGTGGCCATCCCACCCACCCCACTGCCCGGGCCACCCTCCTGCTCACCTGCCAGGTGCTGAGCCCCTGGAAGAAGAAGAAGAGGGCAAAGCCCCAGACCACAGAGGTGCTGATGATGCAGAGCAGGGGGATGAGCTTGATGCGCTCGCCACTGCGGAGCTGCGGGAGAGTCCGGTGTCACTGTGCAGGCAGGAGCTGGCAGCGGTGCCCTGCCCTGCCCTGCCCTCCCCACCAGGCCCATGGGGGCCGGGGGCTCATCTCCCACCTTCATGATGATGTAGAAGGCGAAGTAGAGGAGGAGGTTGCAGATGCCAATGGCCAGCAGGTAGGAAGCGAAGTCATTGGGGCGGACAATGAGGCCGTAGGCAGCGCTGGGGAGGCAGGGGCAGGCAGCAGGGTCAGCACAGCCTGGGGCCCCCTGTGGTGCCCGGGTGCCTGCTGTCCCCCAGGCACGCCAGCAACCCCCGGGAGGTCAGGCAGCGCGAGGTGACATCGTGGTGCCACAGCTGCAGGGGCATCTGTCATGCTGGGCTCACAGCTGTCACGATCTGGCTGTCCTCAGCCCAGCCCCAGCAGAGGAACAGCACGAGCAGGGTGGGGGCAGTGGCAGGGACGGGGAGAAGCAGGGTGGGGTCTGGCTCTGCACTTACAGCGACCAGTTGATGATGTTTCCCATGACCAGGAGCACCATTCGGTCCTGCAAAGGGCAGGGGGGCTGTGAGGGGTGGTGGGCAGCTGCTCCGGGGCAGGGGCTGCCAGGAGGGGTCTCCGCAGAGCCAGGGGGGCCCCGGTGCCAGCACTCACCACGTACATGGGCCCGCTGCACTGCCGGACGCAGTCCGTGTACAGCACGTGCAGGATCCTGCGCAGGATGCCCGAGTCTGTGGGGAGAGGGGAGGTGACACTGGGGGGGCCACTGCGCTGCCCCCCACCCACCCTGCTCATGGTGCCCGCCCTCACCCAGCTTCCAGCGCCCCATGTAGTAGAGCTGGGTGCTCAGCAGCAGCGTGGCCAAGATGTGGATGACGGAGAAGACGATCCAGAAGGCCGTGTTCCCCTTCCCAAAGACCTGCGGGGAGAGTGGGGGGGTGGGCAGTGAGCTGTGGGGGTGACCCACGTGTGTGTCCCCCTCCGCCACAACGCCCACCCTACTCACCACGCCGACCACGGAGAAGAAGATGACGAGGGCCAGGCAGGCGTAGGCGCTGTAGGCGCTGGCGTTGATGTCTGGGTGGCGCTTCTGGTAGAGTTTCAGCATGCAGAGCCCCGCGATCATGTACATGAAGGAGGTGTCTGGGGGGGCACAGCGGTGAGAGGGGTGTGGGAGCGGCCCCGGCGTGGGCAGTGGGGGGCTGGGGGGGCACTCACCGAACTGGAAGTTGGTGTAGTTGGGGCAGACGTGGTAGCAGGCGCTGAGCAGCCCCTCCATCATGAGCGCGGTGCCCATGGCGTAGAAGAGCCCGAAGTGCTTGGGGATGCCGCACTCCTGTGGGGCGGAGGGCAGGGGAAGCAGGGGGTTCGTGGGGGGCTGAGCCCTCCCCCGGGGCACCCCAGCGACCCCCGTCCCTTACCAGGGCGTGGGTGTCGTTGCGCATGAGCGCCCGGTTGTAGTTGATCTCGCGCTGCAGGATGATGAGCAGGAAGAGCAAACCCAGCAGGATGTAGCCCAGGTTGCTGAGGATGTTGTTGAAGGCGCTGCGAGGGGCCAGTCCACACCTGAGTGCTGTGGACCCTCCCTTGTCCTCGGGGCCCCGCCACAGCACAGCCCTGGGCACAGGGGACCCCCAGCCACCCACCCCCAGCCACCCTGAACCCACCTGAGGTTCCCCAGCGGGTGGGCACACAGGAAGTTGTAGTAACAGATGTCCTGGTTGCCAGTGACATTCACCACCTGCATTCACAGGCAGGGTGAGGGTTAGGGGGACCCCCAGGGGCATCCCCATTGTGCTGGGGAGCACAGTTTAAGACTGCAGCCCCCAGAGCTCCCAGGAGCCCCAGCTGCTGCCAACCTGCCCCACTTACTGTCTGGTAGGTGATGACAAGCTGGATGACAGGCAGGGCGTAGAAGACAGCGATGGTGGCGATGTTCCTGCAAGAGGCAGGGGGGTGTCAGGGGGTCCCTGCTGCCCGCCCCAGGTCGGGACACTGCTCAATGCCCCCATCCCCACTGCCCCCCGCTCACCAGAAGTAGATCTGGTACTTCTTCCGCAGCACCCGCTTGTCCTTGCGTGCCAGGTCGGCCACACACAGGTATTTCTGGAAGGAGAGGCTGGTGAGGGGTTGTCTGGGCAGTGGGCAGTGGGCAGCAGGGGTGGGGTGGGACACACCTTGGTGCGGATGACGTTCTTGTCATAGTCAATGTCAGCCAGGGTGTCGTAGTCATCCTCCTCGACGGAGCTGAGCGAGTCCAGGCGGGGCCGGCCGGCCACGTTCTCCAGGGATCGCTCCCCTGCGGCCCAGCCGGGGCCGTCAGAGGAGTCCCTGGCCCAGCCCACCCCGGCACCCACCCCATGGGACCCCAATCACACCCAATTAACCACTCGGCTGCTTCCCTGACAACTCTCACCAGGGACGGGCTCTAATCCCCCAGACCCTGCGCTGTCCCTGCCCAGGGGGGACGTGGTGGCTGCGCCACGTGGGTGAATGTCACCCATGCCCGTCCCTCAGGGCTCTGCCACACTGGGGACAGCTGGGGCACAGGCAAACAACATCCTGCCCTGCAGTCCCTTGGTGCTGCCCTTGCTCTGAGGGAGGGGAGCTGGGGTGCTCTGTGCCCTGGGCATGAACTTGGGGCTGGGCAGATTCTGCTTTGATTGGCCCAACCCTGCCCAGTACCAGCATCTACCCATGGGAATGCTCAGCGGCCTCGTCAGGGCGGAGGGTGTGCGCCGCTTGAACTGCTCCTGCCCTTCAAAGGAAAGCCACAGTTACTGGAGCAGGGCTCCCCCACACGTGTCTGCCAATGGAGACCCCGCTGTGGGCTGCACAGAGGGGCTGCCAGCCCTGGGACCTGCCCCGGAGACAGAGAGGGGCAGAGCTGGGACACCACCGGGCACGTGGCTCTGCAGGGCTGGGGCCACGCCAGTCGCCCCACAACTCACCCACGTAACTGTAGGAGACTTCTGTGGAGCCCAGGCTGTCTGTGACACCCTCGGTGCTGCTGGAGGAGCCGTTCCCTGCAAGGAGGGCAGAGGGTGGGCACGGCCCGTGGGCAGGGGGGTGAAGGACAGGGGGACAGCACAAGGCACTCACCGAAGGAGCCGTAACCGTAGCTGTCGTAACCACGGCCCAGGAAGGAGTCGGGGATGCTGCGGGAGTGACCTGTGGGACAGGATGGTCTCTGTCAGCCCTGGTGGCACCCCTGTCCCGGGGCTGCATGGCCCTTGGGCTCAGGGCAGAGTCCTGCACCCCTGCCCTGGCACAGAGCGAGCTCAGAGCCGAGGACAGAGCTGGCACCTACCCAGGAGCGATGCTGGGAGTCCCCGGAAAGCCGTGGGAAGAAAGAGACAGAGCTGGTGAGATGCAAAGCCCCAGCACAGCCCTGCCAGCCCCACAGTGGCGAAGTCTGGGACCTCCTTGGACCCCTGGCACTGGGATTTGTCCCCAGGGAGCCGAAGGGCAAGCAGGGCTCAGGGGGATAGTGGGGAATTCCTGCAGAATCAGGGCTCAAGAGGCCAGAATAAGCGGGAATCCCGCAGGCAGATCCCTCCATGCCGGTGTCTGCTGCCTCCATCCCTCACCTGTGTCCAGGCTGGGCGAGTCCATGGCTGACAGGAGCCCCTTCCTCTTGTGCTGCCTGCCGGGGGAAGCAGCCATCAGGCCGGCTGTGGCGAGGGGGCACAGCCCGAGGGCCCCCACCACATCAGGGACAGGATGGTGCCCGTAGGCCCAGCACCCAGAGGAGCAGCAACACCCAGGGACTCACCGGCAGCTCTCCCAGCAGGCGATGAGCAGCGTGAGGACGTAGAAGGAGAGGAAGATGCTGAGGCAGAAGAGCACACTGCTCACATAGGCCTCCGCTGTGCAGAGCCAGAACAAGCCCTCAGGGGGGGTGGCACCTCTGGGGACCTGTTGTGGGTCCCTGCAGAGCCCACCACCCCCAGCACACCCAGCCCCTCCCAAACTCACAGGTTATGGCAGGTGACACCATCACCTCCAGCATCTTCTGCCGGTTGTGCTGATCCACAGGTTCATCTGGGAGAGGGCATGGCCAGGGTTCAGCTCTCTGCCCTATCCCCAGTGTGTCCCCACACACAGCCCACAGCAGCAGGGTGGGTGCCTCCTCCAGCCCCCCCCATACCTGGAGAGGCGTTTTTGGAGAGGGGGTAGTAGGGCAGAGGCCCCCCACATGCCTCGTCCTCTGTCTTCACCACCACCACCACGTAGAAGCTGTGGCTGGGGAAATCCTTCTTCTGCAGCAGCCGTCCCGGGGGGAGAGATGGGGGTCAGCAGAGCCCAGCTGGGGGTCTCCCATGCCAGAGGTTATCCCAGGGATACCCTCTGCGAGCTCTGATAACCAGAGGTACCCGGCAGCACCGGGCAGGGGCTGGGAGCAGCTCAGCCCCGTGGCACAGCCCCGTGGCACAGCCCTGTGGCACAGCCCCGTGGCACAGCCCTGTGGCACAGCCCCGTGGCACAGCACCGTGCCCACCTGCACCGTGATGGCCGCCTTCTTCGTCATGGTCTGGTACATCCCGATGAAGGCCACGTTGTTGTCCAGGTCGTAGACAGGGCACTGGGGGGCAGAGGGCCCGTCAGCCCCGCCGGGCACCACGGATCACCCCGAGACCCCACTGCCCAAACCTACCAGGATGTCCTGGATGGAGATGACAGAGCAGGGGAAGGCCATGGCCGAGGTCACCTTCACGATCACCGAGTCCACTCCCTCAGGGAACTCATACTTGAAGTACTGCGGGGGAGAAAGGGCCCATTGCTGCCATGGTGGCCACGTGGCACAGCCCCCCTCCCGTGCCACACTGTGCCAGCTCCCCTCACCTGCGGCTGGGAGGCCGTGGCGTTGAAGCTGAACCTTTTATTTGTCCTGCAGAGAGAGCACGGAGAGGTGATGGGTGGCAAGGGGAGCCTGTAGCCCCCACAGCCCCCACGGGCAGCAGGCAGGGAGTGGGTCTGTGGTTCGGGGCTCCCCTCACCGCAGCACGAAGTTCTCCACGCGGGTGACCCGCAGCTGGTAGGAGGCGTTGAGGGAGAGTGTGGAGACATCCACGTAGAAGTGCTGGGTCTCCACCTCTGTTTTGGTCTGTGGCTGGCAGAGCGTGCGGCTCACCTCCTGGTACGCGTATTTCCGCTGGTACCTGGGGCAGGAGGGGCTGCGTGACCTCCCTCGCAGGGGGAAACCCTGTTGGGGGGATCCCAGCCCGGGGATCCATCCCTGCGTGGGGAACCCGCTGGTACTCACAGGCCCCGGAGGATGAGCGGCACCTGGAAGGAGACCACCGCCTCCTTCTGCCTCACCACGAAGAGCACGGGTAGGTCCTTGTGGTCGGAGAGGACGTTCACCGACACCCGCACGCCCTCGGTCTGCGGGGACAGGGGAAGGCGAAGCGTTGGCCGGGCAGGTCGGGCGGCGGCGGCTCATCCCGACGGCTGGACTTTGCTCGGCCGTCGTGGCAGAGGCTGCCGTGCCCAGCACGCCCAACACTCCCGGTGCAAGGGATCCCAGGGGACACCCAGCCCGCGGGGGACACGGCGGTGGCGACCACCCGGCTCACCGTGTTCCTGCGCACGCTGTGGTTGAAGGCGTAGATATGGAGCAGGTCGGCGTCCACCCAGTCGGTGTAGGTGGTGTTGAACTGGGCTTCCGTCTCGCTCACGTTCCGCTGGTGGGGCTGGGGCAGGACGGGCGGCGGGGGCAGCAGCAGCAGTGCCCCGGCCAGCAGCGCCCAGGCCAGCGCGGCCGCTCCGGAGCCCGGCATCCCGCCAGCATCCCCGGCCAAGGTCCGCGGGGCGGGACGGGACAGGACGGCACGGCACAGCACGGCACAGCACGGGACGGGACGGGACGGCACAGCACAGCACGGGACGGGACGGGACGGGACGGGGCGCTCAGCCGGGGCGCGCCCGGGCGCGCTGCCCCATGGCCGGGCCCGGAGCGGGGCCGCGCTGGCGCTGCGGGCGGAGCGCGGAGCCGGTGCCCGGATCCCGATCCCGATGCCGGCGCTGTCCCTCTGCCCCTTCCCGTTCCGCAGCCGCGGTAAACACGGACCGGCGGTGACGTCACTCCCGTCGCGGGTTGCAGCGCCCGGCCGGGGAAGTGACGCGGCGGGCGGGGCCGGGGGGGACCGGCCCGGCGGGGAACCCCCGCTCCGAGCGACCCGCGGGGGAAGCCCGGGGCCGTAGGGCCGCCCCTGCTCCATACGGGATCCCGCATGGGAAGCCACGTTCCATGTGGGACCCCACAGGGGAAGCCGTGTCCTACAGGGGAGCCCCTACCCTGTATAGGACGCCATAGGGGAGCTCTGTCCTATATAGAACGCCATAGGGGGAGCCCTGGTTTATAGGAGCCTATATAGGACTCCACAGGGGAAGCCCGGCTCCATAAAGGAGCCACTGCTCCATATGGGACCCCACAGGGGAAGCCCTCCTCTATTGTGGAGCCCTGCCCATATACAGGACCCCATAGGGGAAGCCTGGCCCCACAGAGGAGCCCCTGCTTCAGAGGAGCCCCTGTACTGGAGTCCCTGTCCCCCACCCTGCAGGGAGGTCCCAGGGCCGTGTCCATGCTCCAGACACTCACTGAGCCCCTTGCCCAGCCTGCCTGTCCCCAAAGTCCATGGGGAGATGGAATAATCCCCTGCCAGGCGATGGATGGCTCTGCCCCATCCCTTTCTCCTGATGCTCTCTGGATTCCCACAGGGGCTCCTGCAGCCTCCCTCCAGTTTGCAGCACCCCTCATCACCAGAGGCTGAAGTGATTTGGAAGTTCTCCCATGGCTGTGTTCATCGGGGAAGCAGGAATGATACCACGCTGCATTTAGTGCGCGTCTCTGAAAACACCCCTGTCCCAGCTGCCGCCGAGCCGACCACCTCCAGGCCTCTCTCCAAGGGCTCTGGGGCCTTTTTATCATGTTTTCTGTGTCTGCAATTGGTTTTTTTGGTTTAAAATCCCCCTCTGAAGCGGCTCAGCCCCACGTCACCTGTCACAAAGCCACTTTCTGGGCTCGCTCAGACATCCAGGACCTCTGCTGCCGGTTCCGTGGGACAAACGGCACGAGACAAGTGCTGCTGCTATTGTGCACTTTATTTCTCTGGGCCTCCTCTCCCTGAGGATCCCCCGGTTTGGACAGTCTGCACATTGTTTCCAGGTACAGGTGGTGACGCTGGTGGCAGATGGAATGACCTCAGGGACAGACGGACGCCCATGCGGGACTAGAAGCAGAACTCCAACCGACTCAGATCGAACTCGAGTCGCCTCCGTGGGATGGCCGTGAGGGGGATTGCGTGGGGATGTGCCTTCCCTGTTCCCTCCAGGGCTATTAGAGATAAACCACTCGGCAGTTGAATACAAGCCGATGTCCTGTCGAGGGCTGAAATACCGGTTCCCTTTACCTGCAGCACCGCACTCACAGGACCTCAGCTCTGCATGGAGAAAGGAGGAAAAACAGACAGGAAAAAGCCCCAAACGGAGCGGGGAAAAGCAGGAATTAAATCAGGAGCGAGGATCTGGCTGAGCACAGCTCCCAGGGCCAGGGAGGGCCCTTGGTGGAAGGTTTGGCAGCACCTCCTCAGCCCCGTGGAGACCAACCAAGAGTGACCGAGACAGAGGCAGGAGACGCCTCGGCACGTACACACACACACACACACACACACAGGCTGCGACACGGTGGGTGAAACATTGACATTTATATTGAAATATGCACTAACAGTGAGTTCTACCAGCCGATGCATTTTTGCCAAAGCAGAATCACAATGGTTGTGTCCCGGGGAAGGCTCGGGGCAGTGGGTGGGCAGCGAGGGGAGGGACAGGCCTTCCTCATGGCTCCCATCCTGCCTCATCCTCCTGCCCCGCACCTCACAAGACTCTGTCATTTCACATCTTCTGTTTGTTTGTTTTCCTCTCTGCTGCAATAAACACCAAACTGGGAATGCTCACTTAGAGAAGCCCTTAGCTCCAGCACAGGCCCCTCCCGAGGGACATCCAGAGCTGGAATTGAAGCTTTCCCACACGAGGCACTCGGTTTTCAGCACTAGGTGAGCGAGGAGGCAGAACCCTCTTGCTCACAACACCTCTCAGGTGAGCAGGGCAGTTTCCTGCCAGGCAGAGCCAAGTTTGAGTGGAGAAGACACTGTCCTCCCTCTCCAGCACCAGGGCCGGAGCAGAGCCGTGAGCACTGAACCAGCACAGAGCGTGGCACCTCAGCAAGCCAAGCCAAAGCAGAGCCAGCAGAGCCTCCCTGGTGACACTCCAGAGCCTCCGGAGCCTGCCAAACCTCCCGGTCCACTCGGCACCCTGCCAAAGGGGCTGACTCACAGCGGGCACAGGGTGCCGAGTGGAGAAGCCGGAGCTTTACTGGAGTACATTCCTGGTTAGCATCTCTTCAGCCAAATGCAGCAGCAGCAGCGGGAAGGGAAGCAGGGATGCACAGATTAACTAGCACACACTTGCCTTTTCTCACAAGCCTGGAGAGATGGAAAGCTCTCAGGGAGTAGAATGAGTTTTATCCTGGCTCCCTGAGGGGGCTGGGGGTGGGATAAGCCCTTCCCCGGGAACTCTGCTCTGCAGTGTACTTTTAACATCTGATTTTCCACTTGCCCTTCCCCAATTTCTCCAGCCAGCACCTTACGGGAAGCGTGAGCAGCGTTCCCTCAAAGCCTGCCCTGCAAGGCCAGGAGTGCAAAGCCAGCCTCAGGGAGCAGCATCCCTGGTCTGGATCATGGGGGCAGGATGTGATCCCTCCTCTCCCGTGGCACTCCGCAACTCCCTGCGTCTGATCCTGGCAAGGGGAACACTTCACCTTTCCTTCATCTGTGTGTAGATCACATATACTGGAAACAAAACACACACTATGCATGCAATCCAGGCAGGAATCCTGCTATGATCAAATCTACAGGAGGAGGGGGATGAGGTGGGACGTTACGGGATTCCTCAATGCTAGGTCAGAGTTACACACCAGCCCCTTGGCTACAGCAAAGGGCAGACAGACTATGTACAGTACCTATGGGCTTCAGCAAGGACACCTGAGCACCTCCCTCGGCACACAGAGGGAAGCTCTCTGTTCCTCCCAGATTTACCTGCACGTGGATCCCACGGGAAGCACAAACGCAGCAAGGCCTGTGTGGCACCACTGAGCTCCAACTCCAGCAGGTAAGCCAGGGAGGAAGAGACTTGGTTTAAAATAGTTATCAATTTGCAAGTTATCAATTCATCCAGGGCCCTGCTTCTTGGGTCCAAACTGTTTCTTTCTGAAAGAGAACCTCTCAGTTTTAAATGAAAGGCTGTCTCACTAAAACAAGCCCTAACTACAAACCAAACCAAAGTCCCACCTAGCCACAGCCCCTTAGGGGGGCACCTGCCCCTCCAGCTCCCTTGCTAGAGGTGAGGAGCAGTGTCTAGGGCAGGGAAAGCTACGCCTTAACTTCACTTTTTACTGTAAGAGGCTGTAGTTGCTCAAATAAAATGTTTATACAAGTAAACCAGTAGCAATAAAGAAATATACACCTTGGGATCTGTAAAGCTTCAGTGTGACTTGGGCCTTGCAGCCAGGGGCTGTTCATGTGGGTTTGCTTTAGAAAAAAAAGGATGTAACAGTCATACTTGATTAAAAAAAAAAAGAAAAAAAGGAACAAGGAACAGCACTGCAAAGAGCCCTGTGGTGCAGGGACCTCAGAGGGATGTCTGTCAGTTCCAGGGAGCAAGGAAGTGACTGCCAGATTATTGGATCATTAAAATCCTACACTGAGCAACTGCTAAAAGCCAGCGACCCCACAGGCAGCAGGAGCAGGGCAGAGCAGCAGCACCCGAACAGGAGAGTTCCCAGGAGAGCTGCGTGGGAGGGAAGGAAGGTGCCCCCGGGAGAGCTGCGTGGGAGGGAAGACGCCCTGGCTAGCAGGCGTGGGGAGACAAGCACGAGACAAGCACCTGGGAGTGTTGCACGAGCTCAGGTAACCGTTTGCTTCTTTAAATTTCTGAATTCCAGTTTCATGCTGCTTCAGAAAGGAGTGAGAAAACAACACGTTTCATTTAAACCCCCCAGTAAAAAAGAACAAACGACAAACAAAAAAAAAAAATCAAAAAACCCCAAACCTCTAAAAGGTGGGACCAAGTTTGGAAAAATGCATCTGTTCTGGCTTTTGCAAGTGGAATGTGATTCTTGTTCCCAGGCAAATACACAGAGCACGATGGCTACAGCCAGGAATGGTGAGCCAGGCGTGGTGTCGGACAGGCTACAAGGGGTTCTAGGACAACCACAGAGCAACAAGACATGAGAGGGGCACAGAGTGACAGTCCTGTTCTCGTTTTAAATGAGGAATGGTTTAAAAGTAAAACTCTTCTTCAGCTAATTTCCTCCTGCAATAAAACCAACCAAGCCGGCCCTTGTATGTACAAGACCAGTTAAACACGAGCCTTCCCCCTCAAAACACTAGGTACGGACATCCGGTAACATTCTATAATGGAAAGTGCTTTAAGAAAGAAGGATTCTGTAGTGCCAGTGACAGAACTGATCTGATGGGCTGGATGATGCTCTCGGCGCCGACATCAGCGGCTCAGGCCAGGGCAGCTCGTTTCTCCTCGGGGGTCTCCTCCAGCAGCTGCATGATCAGTTCGTGGAGGGGCTTGCAGACCTTGGCGTACCCCCCGCCCGTCAGGTGCAGGAAATCGAACATGTCGTGGTAGGAGATGGTGCCATCCGAGTGCACGAAGCCCACGTCCACGTCCAGCAGCTGGACGTTGGGCAGCTTGGGGAGCGAGGCTTTGA